TAAACCATATAATGAATGATCATGGACCTCATTCATATGCTACTTAGGTCATGTGTGAACCCTGTTTAGTTGTTGAGTTGATTCAATGATGTATTTATAAACTGTCATGTTCTTTGCTTGCCAACATGCTTAGAAATTTCACTTCCATAGGCTATATGTTGATTCTGTCCAAAGTTGAGTATTGAATGTTTTTAAACATCATATGTATGATATTTGGAGTGTGTTTGAACTCTCATCCTTGGTATAACATGTTTGAACAAATCCATATGCTTGAACTTGCATTTCTTTGTCTCATTTTACTTTTCCCTTATAATTTTTAAATACAAGAATTTTCATAAAAAACCAAGAGTCCCATTGTGTTCCTTGTGTAAATCCACTCAAGTCTGATCTAAATTTCACTTGAATCCATTTAGTATTGAGGAAGATACAAGGTTCTTGCTTTTGAGGTTTTGGCAAGGTTTGGGTGCAGGCCAAGGCGCCTTGGGCCTGCCCAGATTTCATTTTGAGGGTTATTAATTAATGGGGGTGGGATAATACATTGGATGTATCACCACCCCAGTGGTTAAACATGTGCGTGCTCTTTACCCTTTACATTGCCAAACATGGGTTTGATCCTGGCTGGGTCAATCCTTTTACATTTTTGTCATTTTTATGTTTTTTAGCATATCTTCTCTTTCTTCCATCATTCTACCAAGCACGCACCTCAGTTGGTTTGGTAATGTTTTAACATGTTAACCAAGGTGTGTGGGTTCAATCCTTGTGGAATACATTTCCTTCTTTTTACCACTTATTTTCTCATTTCTCTTTGCAAAATTAATTTCATCATAACTCTCTTGATCTTTATCATTTTTGCACCATTCGTTTTGAAAAATATTATTCATCATGTCTATTTTCAATAAGTGAGGAAAGAATTCAAGGATTGTTATCCTAGAAATACTTTGATCCATTTTAAAACCATGTGTTTTTAGGATTTTTACCTTAGTGTTTTTGAACTTTCTCAACTTGTGCTTTGATTCTTACATTTGGTCGTAACCAAACTTGTCCTACCAATGATGCTATCGGGTTTTCTTGTGAGTTCATGGTACGGAAAAACAAATTGTACCATTGGATTCCTTGTTCAAAAACACAATTTTCACTTTTGTTTCACCTCATTTGGTTAAGTTTTGACTGAGATCCATTCTTCTTGCAAATGGTCTTAGGTTGCCTTACCTTGCCTTGACCTAGTTTTGCCTATTTTATGCACCAACTTCCCATGATCATAACTTGCTCATTCTTTATGCTATTGATGTCATTCTTTTTGAAAAATACTCCTTAACATGTATATTTTCATTGAGTTAAGAAATAATTCAAGGATTGTTATCCTAGAAATATTTTGGTCCACTTGAATAACATGTGTTTTTAGGGTTTTTTTCCATGGTGTTCTAGAACTTTTTTAACATGTAACTTGATTTTTCTTTTGAGAATTATCTTGTATGATTCATATATGTTTTTTTACATGTTTAAATGTTCATAGTTGTTTGATTCATTGCCTTGCTATATTCATGCTTGCTTTTGTGAATGCATACATGTGAAATGCTTGATTGTGAATGCATACATGTGAAATGCTTGAATGTGACCTATACCATGATTCTTGATGTTGTAACCTCTTGAATATGTTTATCATGCCTCACTCTACTTGTTTATGTGTCTTGTTAGAACCATAACATGTTTAGGATTTTTTTATTGCCTTTGTGAATGCTTGAATGTGAATGGTATACCTTGAACTTCTTTGTGATTCATAACATAATTCTTGATTTTGTAACCTCTTGAATATGTTTTTCATACCTCATTCTACTTGTTTATGTGTTTTGTTAGAACCATAACATGCCAGGGTTTGATTTTTGACTTGGTTGTTACCATGAAACTTGTTTACTTTTCCCTATGAAGTCATGAACAAATACTTGAATTATTGTAACATTTCTTGTGTTTTTGCTTGTTTGTTTGTTATCAATACATGTTAGATGGTCTTATGTTGTTACATTTTATCTTATTTGATCCTTATAACATGCTTGCTTTAAGTTGTAACTTGTTTGCATAAATCTCGTTTGAATGTTATAGATGAACTTGTTGTTGTTACACATGTTCTTTACTTGCATTGATGGTTGTTACCTCTATGTCTTTATGTTGATATTGACTATTGTTCATATGTTGTTACGTGTTCTTGCTTATTTCTTTAACTTTGTTAAGCCTTCCCCAGGTGATGGAACTTGTTAGTTCTCATCCAGTTGCCTTATCTTTCTCCTATTCCAAAGGAAAGTTTCTCCATTGACCCTCAGGGTCATAGATAGCTCATTACCCTCGACTTTGTTAAGTCATATTGAACCCTAGATTAGTTAAGTTAGAACCTACTATCCATTAGACTTTGCTTAAGTCTAAAAGACCCACCTTTACTAAGAGTGTTCTTCAACTAGAACCCTAGGTTAGAGTTGCCAAATCTATGTAAGGATCATTGTCATGATTACTTACTCCCCTCATGGATTTTGTCAAAGTCAATCCCCTTGAGTATACAACATAGAATAGAGATTTTTGTTAAACTCTATACAAGCATTGTTATGTTGGTTCCCCTTTGAACCTTGATCATAATCAAGTGTTCATCTACCCTTAGTGAGGTGAACTACGATTGCTATGATTCTATCCTAGTTAGGATACGTAGGCAGAAGATGTGATATCTTTGCGAGCAAACTTAGAAACATCAACCCTAGGTATTTACCTCAAAACCCCAACCTTGATCCCAAAACATAGCAAGTATTATAACATACAAAAGGTTCTTGTAGAGTACTACAGATGTTTAGGATGTGAAATACCTACCTTAAGCATAACCAACCCCCGATCCTCGAACCTCTTAGCGTTGTTGTTACATCGCACAAAAGGTCTTTCTTTCTTTAACCTTTCCTTTGGATAAATCAAAGTACGGTTGTGAATTAATGAATTAAGATTCAAGTTAATCAATAGCTTGACATCCGATTCTCATCGCAACAGAAATGACGACTTCAATGGGGCAACAGATATCATAGGTTTCTGCATAGGTCTCAAACGTATTCAAGCTTTTTTTTCCAGACATCATCGGAATGGTTGATAGCATAGGTTTCTGCAATGGCCATTAATCAGGTGAAAAAAACAACAAGTTAACTTCGTCCTCAGAGACTTTGGGTGGCTTTTCTTCCTTCATGTTTGTGCTTCATGTTATCAACAGTAACCATGTCGTACTTGAGAGTTTTTTCTACTCCACCTGCAGCTACGTTCACTTTACCGACACCTCTGCCTTTTTCGATGTTACAAACATGCCCGTACTTCAGATATAGATCATCTAACTTTCTTCTTCTCCAAGCATGTTCATTTTCAATGGCAGTAATCCAACTACAAGTTTAAATATATTACACACACTGACTTTAACAACACATACTATTACGGAAGAAATCCAAAATGCAAAAAGTACAAATAATACCCTCCCTTTAAATTGGTGGATGAAGAGTTGCCTTTATGGGAAGCCATGGATAGCATGCAAATGAATTGTGAACTATGAACAACTTCTTATATTTGTAGATTGCTTACACGAGTAAAATAACTTATGTCACTTTTACTTCTATTTCTCACCTAACCCAACTACTCACATTCCTCATGATGCCTATCCTATATTACTTAGTCTTAGGTAACTATATTTGAATACTCATTACACCACTAGCTATCAATCTACTCTATATCAAGTTATCATTATAACATTTATTACCTCTTTTCATTTACTACCTATTGAATTTTTTTAACCTACACTCTAACCAACATGTCTTAATAATAGTGGGTGATTGTAACATTTATCTTTTTATTTTTATTTTATCTTATGTAGTCATTGAGTGAGAATACACATATCAATATTATTTACTCAATTATCAAGTATATTTGTGTCTCATTTTAACATTTATTTAATAATTTTTTCTGAACATTTATATTTTATTGTTATACTAAGTTTTTTATTCTCACATTTTCGTTTCTTAATCAAAATTTGTGATCCATTCATTTTTTGTTACTATCCAAAGTATCCAACTTATTTAATTTTTTCAATACTTTTTTTTCAATTTTTAACTAGTCAATATTTATTTAAAATCCTTTTCTTTCATGTCTCATCTATCATATCACTCTTACACCTATCTTTTTCATGTCTTAACTACTACCATTATTTCCTTTTCAACCACTCTATGACTTTTTCTTTCCTCCAACAAACGGTCCTCTTATTCCAACTTCAAATCACAATATATATATATATATATATATATATATATATATATATATATATATATATATATATATATATATATATATATATATATATATATATATATATATATATATATATATATATATATATATATATATATATATATATATATATATATATATATATATATATATATATATATATATATATATATATATATATATATATATATATATATATATATATGAATACACTTTTTCTAACATATAACAATACAATCTTATCCTAACAAAACTAAACTTTCTTTATCATACATACGGAACACATTATTATTGCATCTACATTTTTTAAAAACATGACATTAATTTTAAATATCATCTGATTCCCCCAAAAATACACTTTTACATCAAAGAAATTGTACATTTCACATTAATCATAATGTTTACCATAGAGAAGTTTCATTTCTATTTCAAACTAATAATTCTAATTCATATTATAGATACACAAAATACTGACCCATACGCACAAAATACTTCCCCATATGCATTTTCGGACTAAAGTAATTTACAACTTTACAATCATACACACTTTTTCCACTATCATCATTAATCTGCCCTACATTACAAATCAACTTTTAACGAGGTAGGATGGACACAAGAATGAAGGCTTCACAACATTAAAACCCACAGTATCTCCAGTTTTCAGACAACTTTTCTTCGCAAATTCATACCAACCTGCCCAAGAAATTGCTCTACACAATTTTCCCTTTGTGCAGTGTGCACTTCACATCATAAACTTCTCTAGTATCTGAATCAACCATCTCATTCTTGTCGAGACCCCTAAGAAAATAACTCTTTATCACATGATGTGGAATTTGCTGAACATTCACATAAGCTTGTCATTAATAATTATATAAAAATGAATTAATACTTCATTTTTTATTACTTATACACTACAAAACTTACAAGAATATTTCTTTGGGCACTCTTCCCAGATTTAATTTTCTTCTCCCAAACAACATTCCTACAAGTTAATGTATATTTGCATCAAACTCGAAGAAACATAATAACAATTTTTACTGCAAATATATTACAACCTCATACTATACTTTTTTTCGTATTTATTTTTTCCTAAATTGATACATAACAATTATTATTGTTTACCTCACAATTTCATGTCCATTGGTTACACATCTTTCTGTTTCAACGTGTCTTTCTTCAGTGACATCACCTTTCCCATTACGATCTTGCACTCCTTCATAAGTTACCGTATCTATTCCGAAGGAAGAATCCCTTTTTGTTAGAATAACCAGTGTCATCTCGATACAGCTTGCACTTCTTCGCGTTTCCTCCTCATGCTCAAGGTGGGCAAAGTAAGACCTTATTCTTTTCCATGATACTCTGACTTCAAGTTCCCCATTTGACCTATTAACATATTAACAAAAGCATATGAAGAATATTACACATTTTTTCAATTGTTTGTGTTGTTCAAAAAAAACAGTTTTCATTATGTTCAAACATATATGCAAACCTCGGAGGTGTAAATGACATTTCTGCTATTTTCTTGAAGGATGCTTTCACACAGTCTACATGTCAAGCACAACATATTTTGCTTATATAATTGAATTTAACATGTTGTTCACTTACCAAACTACCCCTAACAATGCCACACTCACTTATATGGGAAATGTTGTTAATAAACACATGAAAATTTATACTCATTTTCATTTTAACAGTAACAAATTAATAATTCATTCAACTCAAACTACCTATTGTACATATTCATATTACCTATTGAACGTACAACTTAGGTCACCTAAAATTACATATGTTACGTATTATATTATACTATTTTAAAACTATAATTAATTCCTAAAACAATTTAACTGTACAATGTAAACAAATGTAAAATCTATTTAGATTTCATAAACCTTTTTTATATTTTCAATATGTTATATTTTAATATAAACCTTTTTTTATATTTCCAGTGTCTTAAATTTGGGTTCTATACTTTCAATTAAAAAGGGGAATATGATGATCTCACACTATAATTAATTTTGCCTAATGCCTTGTCCCACGCGTGAATAGTAGGATTAGACAATTACCTGATGCACAATCCAAAAAATCACTTGCACCTCTTTATGAGTCTTTCAATGCAATCATGGTAAGGCTAAAAAGTACTACCAATTATTAGGTCTGCATATTGCTAGGAACGATGCAATCCTCTTCTATTATTTTTCTTACCCTATTAACTACTACTTCTACAATAGTCTTAGGCTATTACCTACTACTACAATGGAACCTATTTCTTATATGCATTGTTACTATTCATAACTTTTTAATAAATTCAGCCACATGGAGTAATACAACAAATGCGCTTTAGCTAATAAAAAAATTTAACGTAACTAGCACATTTTTTTCCTTAATGTAAATAGCAAATTTTAACGTAAAAAATTATAAAATTTTAATTCAATATTATAATTTCATATCACAAATAAACACTTTTCAAAATGAAACATAACTGTATTATACGAACTATGAGATATTGGATCAAACTCTAGTTAGTATGTCGTCGAAGTTTGCTCACATGTTGTTATCGAAGACCTACATGTTGTTGTTGAATTGTGTTCTAGTATGTAGTTGTCGAATTGGGTCTTGTGTTAATGATCCAATTGTCTAAGTTAGCTTTAGCTTGTAATGAGTAATTGTTAAAAATATCATTAGTTTAGTATGTTAGGTTTTATTATAAATAGCATACCAGTCTCTCATCTTAAGTATGGTGTGACAAAACCTAATTAGGGTGAAAGGGTTATTTGTTATTCTTGAGTACTTGTAATATGTTTTATAGGGTGATGACTTAAACGAATGAAAGGAGCATAAACCTTCGATGGTTGGAGAAAGTTTTCCCGTTAAGGGAAAATTCTTGCAAAAGGATGGTAAGTTCGACAAGAAGAAAGGTAAAAGTCAGCAGAAGTCTTATAGTGGCGAAGCATCTGGTATTCAATGCTATCACTGTAAGAAGGAGGGTCACACAAGAAAAGTGTGTCCTGAACGCTTAAAAGATCATGGAGGTAAAGATAATGGCAACATAACCATTGTTCAAGATGACTTCAAATCATCTGATGTTCTTGTGGTTTCAAGCGGCGACTCAAGAAAGGAATGGATTATGGATTCAGATTGCACTTGGCACATGACTCCAAACAGAGAATTGCTACTTTATGTTCTTGTGAATTAGGATGCCTTAAATAAGTGATTTTCAATTTGGGAGATTTGTGAGCATTGGGGTGTTTGTTTCAAAGGAGAAAGCAAGGAATGTTATTCATGCAGCCACGTGGTTGATTTTGAAGCAAGAAGGGCATTTGGGGAATTTTCAAAACATGTGTTTTTCAAATATGGTAGATTAATTGTTTTTACTCACTTTTAACTTTTTAGTAATGTAACTTTCAATTTTTATTGTCCATTAACCTCTATTTAAACATGTATAATATAACTTCTTCATTTTATGTAATTAACTTTTTCAACTTTCTTGCTCTCATAAACCAATTCAACATTTTTCCCTACTATTTTAATACACTTATTCTCAATGGTACGACACACTTCATCGACATTAAGAATTTTTATTTAAACTATCCCTATCTAAATAATAATACCAAACAGTTATATAACAACTCCTTATACTGCAGTTGTCGCGCAAACAATAACATTTAGGCTTCAAAGTTTATTTTAATAGTTTAAACACACAACACAACACTTCTTCCGTTGGTGAAATACTGATACATTCACAACACTTAATAATTCTTTCTCATAACAAATACTTAACCAAAATGAAAAACTTACTAACTTTAACATTCAAAAAATGTAAATCATTCTAAATTTCATGTGGCTTGCATCACATTTTATTCAAACATTACTTGTAGTAGCACTACGCCTATCCAAAGACATGTACATCTTTTCGGTTGGATATGGCATCTTAAAACCAATTACATCCCACCTACGAACCCCTTTTTTCTTGGCATAATCGTACCAACCCTTCCCTATAAATTTTCCCAACTAATGTACTTCCCGTTTCACTTGGCTGTACGAATTTCAGCGTCGAATGTGTCTCCATTTTCTGCATCGACCAAAACAATTGACTTCTTATTCCATGGCAAACACTTAGTTGTAACATCTCTAGGAATGGGCTGATTTAAACATAACAACACCTCACTTCAATACACAATCAATGTTATATAAAGAACAAAACATGTTTAAATATCCAAATGAAATCATAAACATACCAACACATTCCTCCTACTGATATAGTTGAAATTTATTTCTTTCTCCCAGTTACATTTGATATTTTTGACTTCATCCTCATTGAAACTGATACATAGCAACATTACTTAGTGATTTTAACTATCAACGTCACGACTTAAACAACATAGCAGCCACATTACTTAATAACATATTATACACACAAATTTCCAACAGCTTAACATTATCCATCTGAAAATTTCATTTCACAACCTATGCATGTTACTTTTTCAATTTCATTTCTACTTACAAATACAACATATTTTCAATGTAACTCATAAAACAAACTACACTTACAACACAATACCCAATCATTCACAAACGCCTTTGCGGAATTTTATCTAGAGGCCACTACTTGCTATTGTCAGAGAATATTGAAATGTGAGACTTCTTTGACAACGACCTACATTACACAACATATCCTATGATTAAGTCTCAGTTATTCGCACAAGACATATATATATCATGCATACCACATACAACAACAGTTTCAATTAGGTTTTTTTTTACCCAAAAATATGTTCAATTTGGTTCAACATCTCTTTCATTGGAACAAACTTCATCCCTTTGTTTCTTGGTATCCCTCCTTCAAATTTCAATCCTCTACAACACCACAAAACTTCCATGCACATCAATTTAAATTTCCTAAGAATAGTAATAAATCCAATATAAAAATTAAGATAACAGCTTTATTAAACTCTATCGTTTCATCTACTCTCCAGTTTTCTCCGAAAGCTTCGTCATTCCCTCCCGCTTGACCTCCGATCCTCCAGGCCGCATTCCATATTTCGTCACCAATTTTCCTTTTCCTTGTAGAATTAGGTTTCATTTTGGAACCTTCCCAATGGTTGTATTATTGTATGTTGCCTTTTTCCAAATGCAACATCTTATATCTTTATTTCATGGGCCCATCACTTTCACAATAGTAATGACCTGGTTTTAACTTTGTAACCTTTATTTTAATTATTATGGGTTTCACTATTATTTCAATTAATACAAATGATTATACATTTCTATTATTTTTTATTTTCATTTTCTACTGTTATAACTCAAAAATAAAATTTTCTTTTTCTTTTTTCTAAGTTTTTTTATGTTTCATGTATTTTTACTTTATATAACCTTTTAAACATATGTTTTGTTTTTAACTAAATACGTGTCACCGACGGGTACCCGTGCGAACGCACGGGTATCCCGCTAGTTAAGAATTAAAATATGACTGGAGTAGTTTAGCAAGTTTGATTCTCCACATTGAGTTTGGAGAGAACTCTTAGCTTGTCTTTTTGAAGGTCTCTCAAATTATATATTTTTTAGGTTGGAAGTTATTTCTCTTCAAAACACTCATAATGAAAGTAGTATAAATTATGCATCTACAAATTACTTATATATATATATATATATATATATATATATATATATATATATATATATATATATATATATATATATATATATATATATATATATATATATATATATATATATATGATCTCACCTGATCATAAATGATCAATGGCCTGCCACGCGTCGTTGGATTATAGCTTTCGCCAGAGGTAGGGAGAAGGAGGGGGTGTACCTGTAAGGTACTCTGATGCTTAAGTGAGTAAAGGATCAGAGTGGGAGCGCAAATACAGAGAAGTAGGTGTAGAGAATAGAATACTTGACCCTCTAGTCAAAAAGGGTATTTATAGAGAGACTCAAGCGCAGGGCTAACGATTACTTGCATTGGGTCAGACTGCCAGGCTTAACCCAAGTAACTGTCAGGGTTTACGTGGCGTAGTGAAGACCATCACGTGGTTTTCGCTTTAGATCAACTACCCCGTGATCTTTAGAAAGTGGACCGACCAACTCTTTCGGAGGTGGGTAGTTGCCTGATGACGTGAACCCGCATGGGGAAACACGTGAAGAACATGGGGGAAACATGTGAGTCTGCCCGTGAAGAGAGTCGTCTCCCGACGTAGGTGGCTTGTTTCCAACATGGGAAGGATTAGGCCTTATTAGGCCTCCCCAATATAGTGTTGGATTGGTCCTGCCCAGTCCAGAACAGGAGCCCCTCAAGTCGTTGCTCCTAGGCGGAGGAGTGATGAATTAAGAATAAGCTATATTGAGGACAGGTAGAGGATGTGGTCTTATACTCGGCAGATGGGGTTGAGAGCCATGCTCGTCGAAATATCATGTCAGGGAGGTGAAAATATGATCGGGGTGCTAGCTTTTTGAGCTCGAGAAAAAATGAAGGGGCACGGACAGTTATGGTTGCCACG